GAGGTCTGCTTGACTACCGATGCGGTCGATGCAGCCAGTGTTGCTCGTTTGGTGCAATTGCTTCCAGGCGACACCGAGCGGAGCCATGCCGCTGAGCCAGGCGGTTTCGTCTGGGCCACCGGGGCGTGTGTGCCCAAAGGCATTCGTGCTGTGCGTACTAATACAAATAAATTTCCCAATGTTACAAAGCTTCTCACAAGTTATGCCCGTAAATGGGTCGGCGATCACCCTTTCACAAGCCTTATTCTCTTTGCAGATGTGCAGGCCCCAGTCCATGTTGACCGAAACAACGCTTTGGGCTACGACAACTTCCTTATCGGGGTTTCTGATTTTCAACATGGTGAGTTGTGGCTTGAATCTCCTGAAGGAAGTGCCGTCTGTCCGCATGCTACCATCACCGGCAAGGGTGTGCTGCTGCCGGTGGCTCGCACTTGTGCCTTCTTTGATGCACACGTGCGTCATGCTACGTGCCCATGGAAGGGACAATGCATAGTGCTTGCGGGTTTTACTGTCAAGGGTTGCAACGCCATCCCGCCTGATCAGGAGCGCTTCTTGTCGTCGCTTGGTTTTCAAATACCTCAGCTCGCTATCGGTGACTTCGTGTGCAAGGCCCTTGCGCCTCCTCCGCCCCCGACCCTAGGCTCCGGTTTAGACCTCACGTGCCCTGTAGTATTTGAAATATTTTCCGGAACAGGGCGAGTCACCGCAAGCCTTAAGCGTGCCGGCGTTACCGCAGCCCATGCCGTGGATCACCAAATACATTCGCAAGCAGCTGCTTTGCCTTTGCTCGCAGACCTGTCAACTCCCGCTGGCCAGGAACTTTTCCTCTTCTGGTCAATAAACTTTATAATTTCTTGAGCCATGTCGTCGAGATCTGCCATGAACGCAACATTTTGTGTGCCATCGAGAATCCGCATCGCAGTTGGTATTGGGCTACTTCCGCGTTCGATCGCATCAAGCACATATGCTGCCACCCAGTCAGCTTTGATCATTGTGCTTTTGGCGGCAGCCGCCCTAAGCGCACGACCATAGTAAGCAACACCACTGCATTCCGTGTGCTTGCGAGAGATTGCCCTGGCTCAGCTTGTGCCGCCAATCACGCTCCTTGGGGGCCCACCCGTGCAGGTTTCGCGACAGCCGAGGAGACCGCATATCCGCCGGCGCTGGCTGCTTCAATTGCGCACTGCATTGCCTCGCATGCTTGCTCTCTTGGATGGCAGGATGGCACCCTCCCCAGCCTTTGCCCAAGCCGGCTACTTTGCAAACTGCCTGCCAGGCTGTCGTTGGCGCGCACCCAAAAGCTTCGCGCTTCCCGCCACTGGTCGCTGAACATGCTGCCGTTGTCTGTGTCACCGGCCCGGCTGCTGCACTGCAACTGCCTTGCCAGCCCATGCAGCGTCTAAAGAAACCTTGGCCTGTGCCTGAGTCCTGCGCCTCATCCCTCCGTGTCATTCCTGTTGAGGCCCAGCTGCTTCGCCAAACCCCTCTCTCGGCCAACATTGGGGAAAAAGGCTCTCTAGATGCAGGTGATCAGGAGGTGGCCTGGGGGATTCCTTTCCAGCCAGAGGCATTTGTGGCATCCGCTGTTAAAGCGGGTCATCCAAAGATGCTGCCAGTGTCCCTTCCTCTGCCTTTGGAGCAAGCCGTGGAAGTGAATAGAAAAATGAGCCCCGAGCAACTTAGAGATTTTAGGGCTAAGTGGTTTAACAAATGGGAACAGAAAGCAAAAGATTTAAGGCCCAAAGAAAAAGAACTAAAGAGCCACATGCCGGAACACTTGCAAAGACTTCTAGATGGAAAGGGTTTGCTTGTGTGGCGAGAAATCTTAGCAGATTTGGGTTATTCGGATTTAGGTGTTGTTGAGGAAGTTGCCAGGGGCGCCGAATTGCTGGGTCAAGTTCCCCTAACTGGTGTCTTCGATCAATCTTTCAAACCTGCCGTCGCTACCCCTAAGCAAGTAACTAAAAATGCCACTGAGGCAAGGGAGCAGGTGCTGAGGAACTTGAAGTCGCAGGGTAGCCTAGACAAGGAAGTCAAGAGATGTCCCTTGATGAGGTACAAGAAGGCTGGCTTCGGGGACCTGTGAGCGAAAAGGACCTGGGGCCGGAGGCTCTTGTTAGTAAGCGGTTTGGTTTGGAGCAGGGATCTGGAGAAACTCGTAAGGTACGGTTGGTCGACGACCTTAGCTCCAGCACTGTTAATGATGCTGTGCAGACCAATGAATCGCCGAAGCCTCATGGCGTCGAAGTCATTGCGGCGTTGTGCATGCGTTGCATGGATCGCATGCCGAGACGACCGGTGAGCGGTAGGTGTTATGACTTGAAGTCCGCTTATCGCCAGATGGGATTGAGTGAGCAGGCTTTGGAGGCAGCCTTCGTCGCCTTCCACGACGCGGAGTCGGGAGCTCCTTCCATATATCAGTCGCTTGCCTTACCGTTCGACGCAGCACGATCGGTTTACTCCTTCCTTAGGGTGGCACATAGTATATGGTTCATAGGATGTGCCCTAGGCATAATGTGGGCCAATTACTACGATGATTTTCCCGTTCTCGCGCCGGATGACACGGTATCGGACACTGGGGATACAGTCGCCAGGCTGTTTCGGCTCCTGGGATGGCGCTTCGCCGAAGAAGGCAGTAAGGCATCTGAATTTGGAAAAACATTTGCGTGCCTTGGCGTTTGCTTTAACTTGGAACCTTACAGCAGCGGAAGGGTGGAAGTCGACAACGCCAAAAACCGAAAGCAGGAGCTGGGGGGCGCTTTAAGGCAAGCCGCGGCAGGCGACACTTTGTCAACGAACGCTGCTCAGAACTCAGAAGCTGAGGGGTAGGATGCAGTTTGCCGACAACCAGGTTTTTGGCCGTGCAAGTCGGCTGTGCTTGCAGGCGGTGACCGATCATGTAGTGTCAGCGAGCGATGTCGTTCAACCTGCTTGCAGAGATGCGATGCTGGCTTATGCCAACATTCTGGAAGTTTGCAAACCACGCATTCTTGCCAGACCCTCGCAGAAACCTTTGTACTTGTACACCGATGCGGCCTTCGATCGTGGAGACGGCGGTCCGCGGTGCGGTCTGGGCGGCGTGCTCTATGATAGTGAGGGAGAAGTGCTTGCCTTCTTCTCGCACTTCTTAGATGAGGCACAAATGAAAACCTTGGGTGTGGAGCACAAGCAACAAATCATCTTTGAAGGCGAGCTACTAGCCTATGTGGTGGCCCTTGTGGTGTGGAAACAAAGACTTAAAGGTCGTCCGCTTGTAGCATTTATTGACAATAACTCTGTAAGGGACCTTTGCATATCAGGCAAGGGACGCAACGAGTTTGCTAGGACCATGTCCGCGCTGTTCCTCACCCTTGAGTCCTTGAGGATCTGATCAGTCTTAATCCTTGGGTGGCTCGAGTTCCGAGCCCTTCCAACCCAGCGGACCGGCTGTCCCGTGAAAAGGTTGAGACTATGAAAGTTCAAGGGAGAAAATTGAGGGCCACCGATATTGGACCTGCTTTAGCTCACACCCTTGCGTAGCGGATAAGTTGGGATTTAAGCTCTTCCCCCTTTTGCAGCTGCGTAGTTGCGTTGCCATCTGACGGTGGCTTTCGTGCTTGAGTGGTGTGCCACCTGACGGTGGCACAGACGATCCGAGCTGCCCAACGTCACCAGAGAAAAAGAGTGTGAGCCGCGCGTTCTTGTAAGCCTCTGCTTTGCAACAGCAGTACATTCATGACAATACATGTGCATGTGTCTGTGTCTCTTACAGAAGAATCAAAGAAAGATTTTTAAGCTTGCGGTCAACTTGTTGATAGCGTATTAAAAATCTTGATTTGACAAAACTCGGGTGAGTTTTGCTCTGCAGTGTTGACTTGGCGAGCTTGAACCTGAACCGCAGTTCAGTCCGAGCCGTGGGCTCCAAAATTTGCCCACCCGCCCACCCTACAGAATCTAAGCTACCTGCAGCGTCGCTGCCTTGATAATGACGCAAACACTTGCCGCACCGGTCTTGTGCGCAGGCTCCTGCCTGCATCCTGGCTGTATGCCTTCCTGCCGTAGTCTGTCAGTGCTGCGGGGTTTAAGCTCTTCCCCCTTTTGCAGCTGCGTAGTTGCGTTGCCATCTGACGGTGGCTTTCGTGCTTGCGTGGTGTGCCGCCTGACGGTGGCACAGACGATCCGAGCTGCCCAACGTCACCAGAGAAAAAGAGTGTGAGCCGCGCGTTCTTGTAAGCCTCTGCTTTGCAACAACAGTACATTCATGACAATACATGTGCATGTGTCTGTGTCTCTT